ATGTCTATAGAGTAGTATGAACTTAATGTTGCGTCATTTGAAAAGGAAAATTTTTGTTTATTTGTTTATTGTTCGACGTCCCTCTCGAGAATTTTTCACTCATATAGAGACGCCACCACTTGCCGGTGGAGAGCTGCAATATTTGACCTATGCTCGGTACTCAAGGCTATCTAGCAATGAGGGATATTTTTTGTGCCAGCATCTAGTGCGACACAATAGCTCGGTTTATACTGTATCATCTGAAGTACCGGTCTCCACGTTCCACAGTGGGATTCGAACCCTTGACGTAAGGATCAGCTCTTTTCTCCGTGACTCTTGAGCATACGCTCTACCACTGCACCAGGAGAGTAATGCAACTTCTAGGTTTTTGTAAAGTAGGATGGAGACATTCAAATGTTTTACTTTATGTTCTGTTCTCTCTCTCTTTTTCTGTATTTAACATTTACCATGACATCTGATTCCACCTCTGATGGTTTGAGAGGTCAGTGTTTGCTCTGCTTTCGATTTGTATTGAAATAAATGTATCTCAATAATTCATTCATGAAAAAAGAAGTACATGCAAATTGTTTTAATTGGGAAAAATGTTTTTTAGTTAATTAAGACCGACTGTTAAACATCCTAACAAGAGAAATAATTTTGATTGCAGCACTTTTGTGGTTCACAATGAGGATCCTGTTGCTGTTTATTTTGCTTCTGTATCTTCAGGAGAACACGTGCAATGGAGCGTGTCCTCCCACGTACTGCTCGGACAATTATGTTTCCTGTGTGACGGGTTGTCTTGGACGCAGCAGTATGTACAGATGTATTGACAGCTGCATCCGGGCATCTAGGAGATGCATTAGTTACTGCATCGGATAAAACATGCTATAACTTTTTATAGTCATCACTGTAAAACTTTGAAAAATTATAAAACATTTTCCAAATTTTTGAATCTGAAATGTCTTGCAGAAGAACTCATCAACATAAATAAAGAGTTGTATTTAAAAGAAATAGATTTGAATTTATTTTTATATTTCTGTTTAATATCACAAAGTAGAGTGCTGGCCTTCAAGGAATACACTCTAGTATTTGAAGAAACGCTTGTCTCGTCTGCTTTATAGCATTATTAAAGAGGCATATAAATCTTACAGTAGTCAGCTGTTTATTTGTTACTAGTATTATCGTCCATGCAATAGCCTTCAAAAGAAAAAAAATCATGGAGAGTAAGGCTGTGGTTGATATAAGTTCAAGAGTGAAAGAAAAATATTTCTATAGAAAGTTAACCGGCATCAGGCGCGGATCCAGGAATTGAAGTTAGGGGCGCATTAAGTAGGCAGGGGGTCTTGGGGCCGCCTTGAGGCCCACAGTGGGTCCAGGGCGGAGCTATGATATACGCTTAAATCCGCCACTGGGCATAAAACCAATAAAAAGTTACAGGCAGATCCGTCCACAACAGTTCCGGAAGTTGATATTAACTAGGGATGTCAATTTTGTCAATAATAATTCATATTCGAATATTCAATGAAAGTATTCGAATATATTCGAATATTCGATAAAATAAATATATTTGTTTTATTTTAAATATGCATCATCCTACTCTCATGAAAGGTTTAGCGTAGGTATACTTATATTGGAAGTAAAATTGTGTGAAGACTTTCGTAGGTGTACAATAAGAAATTCCAATTGATATTTGTCAATGTTTGAAATAAATAATTGATTTAAATGTGGTGAAGTATAATTTTAACAAATGAAACGTGTTAATTGATTTAAATGTAGAAAAGTATAATTTTAACAAATGAAACGTGTATTTATAGTAGCTCCAACTGAGCAACCAGTCGTCTTACAAAAGGCAAGATAGTCGTAACGGTATACTGTTCAGATTTCAATATGTGTAATGAATTACAATTATCTGCCTGATAAGAGATATGATGATAATTTTTGATACAATAGACAATTTTCCTAGGTAATTAACTAATTTCCCGATAATGAATATAAAATTCAGGATTATGTACAACCCGAGATAATCAAGTAATTTACACTTTTATTCTGAAATTAAGCCCTTTACAATATTAATTACAGATTAATTCTATCGGACATTCATTCAATGATCAATTAATTTTATTTTGATAAGTAAACTCTTTACGCCTTTTAGACATTCTTAGATTTCATTTTTGTCCTCGATTCTAGATCCGATTGTATCTAACTAATAAAAACTATGAAAGTACGTTTTGTATTATACATAAAGCATTTTTGTACAATTCTTTAACACATTACTCAAAACAAAATACATGTAATTTAGTAGATTTATAAGATAAGAAAGTAGTGAAAGAAATTGATCGCTAGTAAATTAAACAGGGATAATTCCAGCACTGCTGTAATCAAAATTTATTAATCACAGTACTTCTTTTTATGAAATCTGAAAAACACCGAATATTCGAATCTTAAATTCATATTCGAATATCAACTCATCGAATGAATATTCGAATGTTCGAATATTCGTTGCCATCCCTAATATTAACATTTAATTTCAGAATGAAATCGCAGCCAGGGACGAAATTCTGTTACTACCGTATTCAGTAGCCATGTTAACGCATTGAATGAAATTTTCCGACTGGAGTTAAGAAGACTTAAATCCTCAAAAATTGACAGAAAAAACGACATCGGCCATCTGAGCGGAACGTCCAATCATAAAGTCATGTTTTAATTTGGTTGAAATAACGTCAAAGACAAAATATTGATCAAACAACTTGAAATATTGAAAAATATTAAGGTCAATTCATTTGAAGTTTGTATAGATGATTAATTCGTTTAGTGTACTATTTCGGAGACACTACAAGTAGTGGAAAACCACTGTTATTGGATGAAAATAAGATAAACCTATTCATAACGTTGTTATAAATCTAGCGCAATGTCGGACTGGGCTGTGCAGCCTGTGTATATTAAGCGTTAATATTGATGATGCTCGTAAATTAGCATGTATTGTTTTTATTTTTAAAAATTTAATTAATTATGGTCTGTTCATAAATATTATTGCAATCACTTGGCAATGTGGAATAATAAAAAAAAATGTAGCATGTCTCCATTGACATGTGATAAAAATTCAATTCCCTATTTTTGAGGTTATCAAGATATTGGCTTTACGTCAGATTTGGCCGTGCGGCTTGAATATGTAAATTAATTACACCTACAATGTTTTTAAGATAGTGTGCATTGTTTTAATTTTGATACATTTACCAAATCATGGTCTATATATTAAAATATTATTTTACACTTTTGCCAGTGCAGATTTTTTTAAGAAAATCATAGCATTTGTCAATGAACATTTTGGACAACCCTCGTATGTTAGTGTGGTGGATAGTGGGTGTAAACTGTTTGGTATTTGTTTATATATATGAAAAAGGCTTCAAAATAAAGCACTAAAAAGAGGAATGGTGAATTTTAAGGTAAGGATCTAGGATAAGTTACAAATATCAGGTTAAGGTTACCAATTAGTCTTACATTGTCAAGTCTACCTCATCATCTGAAACTGCAAATCGACCAAACTTCTTTTTTTGCTTTTTGCAGAACATGGGAGATCAAAGGAGATAAACCAAGGTATATTTTATCTTAAATGTTTTGGGAGGGTTAAGGTAAGAGTTAGTTTTATGCAACCAAATATAAAAGAATTCCACAGAAGACACTAAAATGCTAATATCTTTGGTTAATATTATGAAGCTTCTCTTTATGTTGTTTTCTTTTTTCGTCAGAGCAGCAAAGACGAGGACTGCAACAAAGGAGGTTACATGTTGAATAGTTCATTTTTAATATAAAAACTACTGATATAAGGAGTAACTGTATTGTATTGTTTTAAACTCATTTTATTTGACTGATGTTTGATCATCAGTCTTACTTTTCGCTTTTCAATATTTTAATAGTATAATTTATGAAATATATGGAAATTACTCTGGAAGAAGTCAGTTGGCTTGTGGACAAAGGGCCAAGGAAGTGCAAAGACATTTAAGAAGGCAAATTTTCAAGCTTAGTGGCCATGTTGGCAGACAAACATCTGGGAAAATTAAATCAATGAAATCTCAAATGCACTCGGAAGGATCGAAAGATAGATTGTTAGCATATTGCCTTTTAAATTTCTTTTACAATTCTTTAATATATTTCTAACACATTTTTCTATAACATGTTATGCATGATCGGAATAAGTAGTAAAATTTGATACTTAGGATTTTTCGATAAAGCAGAAGATATCTGGTGTAGAAAGACAGTAGTCTACAACACTTAACCCCCTGGATTCCATGAATGTAAAATCCCTGTCCATATTATTTTTATGACGACCATTTAGTATCCTCATCCCAGATGATTTGCACATTGCCAATAGTTTCGAACCATTGTCATTTATACTTTTATCCTGGTTCACCCGTAATGGCAAATCGTAGTCCATCTCATAACCAATAGTTTCAATATGACTCAATTTATTCTCATAAAGAACATCATCAATTATAAAGTCTTCCCTAGATGAAGTCCGTGCATTCATATCTCCTAATATCATAACTTTTCCTTTGCTCTGATATGAAGTTATTTGTGTTTCCAGATCATTGAATAGGTCACAGTCATACAGGCGATAAAATGTAGAATTGCTAGGTGGTATATATACACATCCTACGTACAAGTCTTTGTCTATATTTCTTAGAAGACGGTGTATTTTTTACCATACAATAGTATTTTTTTTTTTTTGTTACAACTGATATATAATTGTGAAATGTTTTGCGAATCAGTATTGCAATTCCACCGCCTTGGGTGTTTCTGCTTTTCTGTCTTGGGAAAACATAAGAATCAAAATTTTCGACATGCACATCAATTTTTTTTTGAAGCCAACATTCAGTTAAAAGAATTACATCATAAGATAGTAAGAACTTTTGGAAACTTAATTCTTTAATTTAAGTAGCAAAACCACCATTGATATTCCAACAGATGAATTTCAATACTTCAGTCCGAACTGTTTTTGTATGTTTGCCATTCTCCTGAGAACCCTATCCTTCTGTAACCTCATCATCCCTAGTACTTGCAACCATAGTTTCCTTTGTTTCCGGTCCTCTGTACTCCTCAACTTCAATATAAAGTCTGTTAACAACCATTGTTGCCCTTATACCACTTCTTCTTGCTTCTTTTAGAATTGGGTAAAGTTGTTTTCTTTGCTCCTGTATTGATCTTGGAAATTGCTCCGAAATTGCATATCTCGTGTCCTCTAGCCTGCTGGCGTTCGCGCGGACTTTCTCTCTCACCCTATAAGATGAAAATTTCACTAACACTGGTCTGCATTCTCCATCCCTCCTTCTTCCTATCCTATGAGCTCTTTCGATGTCCCGCTTTATATTACGGAGCCGAAGTAGGTCATCACAAAAGACATCTATGAGAGCCACGTAATCCTCTTTTCTGTTACCTCTGTATTCTGCCGGGCCAAAAAACAGGAGGTTGTCGCGCATACTACGACACTGTAAATCAGTCATTGTTTTTTCAATGTCTTTCTGTGTTTTTTCTAAGCTCTGGATCTGAGACAACACGTCCTCGCTGACATAAGTAGATCGTGATCGGTCTATATCCTGAACTTGCTCTCTGTTTTCAAGCCTTTCGAGACGCTTAACAATAGAATCTATTGTTCGTGCCAGTTTATCTATGTCGGCCTTATGGACAGCAAGTTCAAGGTCGATGTCCGACTTCATGGCCTAAAATTTCTTGTCCACGCTTGCTATAAAATCATTCTTGAACTTGTCTAATTTAATTTCTACCATGGATTGCAGGGCCCATTTGTAGATTCTGGACGGCCTCCGCAATCACTACAATCTTGTTCACCATACTATAATCTGAACCACTGTCTAATGCAGTCTTAACAGTCTCATTATCCGCCATTTTTACAGTTTTTGTTGATGGCTTTGGGGTATTCCCGTCAGAAGACAGTCGCCGCATCCTGTCGGTTTTGTCCGTTTTAGGCATCAATGCAATATAGGGATATCGAGATATCTAAACATACCTGATTTTCCAAGGTTATTCTTTTAAATTAATAAAAGGTTACTCACAAAGTATCACAGCAAGAAAATTACACGTCCATGTCTACCCACGCATGCGCACGAAAAATGATCAATTTGATTTTGTATAATTAATTATGATATTTTTTTTCAACAATCAATTTGCAGAGTGTCATGTCTCACAAAGATGACAGATAGTTGCAAACTATTTTTTCAATGTAATAAAAATCACTGTAATTATTAGTATTGATGTTTTATTAGGCTGCACCGTAGTTTCATTCATTAAAAAAATATAATGAGTAATTAAATTTTCACTCTAAATGTTTAAGCAAATTGTGAACACCTCTCACATCTAGAAAACATTAACGATTTGATACCTTCTCTGAAAAACCCAGCGGGGGGTATTGTCTCTTTTGGACAGTTTTAATTACAACTTGCAGATTTTATTAATTTCTTTAGAATAATTTATTTTGTTTTTGGTGACTGTTTTAACATTTTTTTTTTCCATATTACTTTAGTTGGCGAACTTTTATAACGGTATATCCTCATTTTGGATGAAAATGCTCAACAATGGCAGGTTTGAGAATAAATGTTAACTTATCCAGAAATATCCTTCCAATGTAACTTCAACTAAAACTTTATTCCTCCAGTGAAATAAAACATTTATACGTAGCCAAAATATGTTGTGCAAATGTTGAAAAACAAACCTGTATATACATTGTATTAATTTCTTCATGGTACACATTTATAATATTTGTCAGTTGTTAATGAATGTATATGCCAACTAAAAATCTACCATCATAACCTGAAAAGTGATCTGCATAAAGCACAATTAAAAAGAGAAAACCTGAACTAAAACATATTAAAATGACAAGTTAATTTTCTAATTTCTAAACAACTGGAAAACTCTTAATCAATAAGACAATGGTATTCAGATAATTTAGAGGAAATTCTGTGACATTTGTTTGATATTTAATAAGATATGAAAATGATGTTTTTATCATGTGTAATATGTCTTGAAATATGAAATAACCTTTATATGACATTTTAATCAAATTGTGATTCATATCTGATTTTGATTGAGCATAAAAAATATTTGCATTTATTTTTTTTTTATGAAATTTGTTGTCACATTATATCGAGTAAAGTACTGTATACATGATTATTTTCCCCCAAGATATTTTTGTCTCTTCACAGTTGCTAATAGTTTTGTCCCATTTTAAATTTGCCAAGGCACAGTTGCGTTGAAGATATAATGCAGTCTTCTTTTAATTCACACCATTTTAAATTCGTCCATATGCAAGGAGACCTAAAGTGGCTAAATTGAAATGGGAGCGGAAAATTTCCCTGCATACAGTATGGTGTTGACAGAATTGATTTTTTAAAAAAAAACATTTCTTTATTTTTATATTATTTCTTCTTGTTTCTTTCGATTCCGTTTCTTTTTTGAGCTGTATTACTTTTACAATTCTTCAAACCATTAGTTGAATTGTCTTCAGTGAATTATAATGCGTAAGCCAGGGGTTATATGTTATCCCTTCAGCAAATACTGCGGTGTCTCAATTCAAGTACAGACCGTTAGGGTTAGAACAGTGGCATCTGTTGTGCCACCATCCCGACTTCTACTCGTATGTTTATTTCATCTTAATGCGCGTGCCAAAAGAATAGGAATAATTAAAGGAAGCGGAGAAACGAGTACATATTCACTTTTCCAATAAATGAATATGCCAGGCCAGTAAGATTCTAGCATATTATTGTATTTTTGATAGTTTAAATTGCTGAATTATTTTCTTTATTTTCCTGCTTTTTGATAAACCTATTCCAAATCAATACTCTTACACTTAGATTAGCCCACTTAATATGAAGTATCTTACAAAATATTTGAATTATTGTCTATATGAACAACGAACTCTATATAATTCTATGCCTTTTGAAATTTAAGATTTTTTAAGATTACAATTTTTGCTGTACATTACATTAAAAAGAATTATATTTACATGTAAAAAAAAAAAAAAATCTGCAAAAATGTTCATTTAATTATGTAGGTATTATAAATTTTTCTTCTGCAAAATGATCAAATAAATCATCCTCTAAAATGTTAATTCTTACCTTTTGCAACTTCGATGAAATATTCTTCGCAGCCCCCAAAATAGTTATTTAAAATTTCTCTGAATTTTTCTCACTTTTTCCTGAAATATTTCAAAGTTGATGGATGCGCCTGATGATATTGGATTTATATTTTTCCTCTGCTTTCCCGAAAACACATGAATATTGAATCCCGTTTGTTGATCTATTATTTTATGTCTGTATTTAACAAATAGATTACCATCGGTCATAACTGAACGAGATTAAATAGCCTTTTTTAATTTCACCTGTGCATTTAACCAGTAACACGAATTGTTTGGATGTACTATAATCTTTTACCTCATGACTTCGACCTTTATGTTTGATCTAATTCTAATCTTAGCCATAACTTTCGCACTAGAGCAGATATGACTTTCATAGTTTTCTCATTGCGTTTCCTTTGACATCGCTGGATCGTATTTTATCTTTCATACCATTTGTAAGCTAATTGACTTTATATTAAATTTGACTTCTGAGTTCTCACTCTACCTTATTAAACATAGGACTCACGGCGGATGTGATTGGTCGACAGAGGATGCTTACTCCTCTTATATTTACATCCACTAAATATTATTTCCTTTATTTCTTAAGAAAACCATTGCCGTTCATCAGTCAGTTAACAACAATAAGCATATCACATATACAGATTTCTTGAGCAGTGGTTGTTCCATCAATGAAACATAAAATGGCGTACATATCAATAATACACCATTTCATCTACTAAATCCTACTTTAAGGTAAAATATCCCTATGCTCTAAATTTCACCATTTTTTTTTAAAATTCACAGCATTGATTTTCATCAACAACATTAGCATTAGATTCAAATGGAAAATAGTTTGAAGTATGAAGCATTGCTTACTTTTTCGGAAATGAATATTATGTCTAATCATGATATTTTATCTCAACATAAAATTAGGTATGTATGAAAATGATATTTACTGTCATACCTATTGAATTCATATAAGGAAATATAATGAAACGTTGCTTTTTAAATCAGAATATCACATTGTTTTCTGTGCTTGTAAATTAAAAATGCATCCATCTACAAGAGTTATCTTTTTTCAGAATATTTTTTAAGAGGAAAAAAAAGGATTATGAACATTCTGCATCTGAAATATGATAAATTCCTGTAACAATTAAAAGAATTATTGTTAAGAGATAAAAATATCTCAATTTTAACAGTTTAAAGGAAATGAGTAAAAATGTTTTAGGTAATCTATTATATTTAATCATTAAAAATTTTGGCAATAGAAAATAGAAATCTATATTTGTAACAAAATTTAGGTTCGATTGAATTGATATATAATGGTCTTCATTATTAAACTCTGGTAGTACGATTAATAGATTACTCGGAATAACTTTCTTGGAAAGTTATTTCTCTTATCAGAGGGACATTACATCTTAGATAATTATTTGTACAGATATAAATACAAACAATAAAATGTCTTTCTTTGTTCTTCAGTACGGGAATTAAAGTTGCAGCTATTGGAGAAAAAATTACACAACCCCGCACCATAACAACCAAAGAAAGCATTTTCTTGTTTAAATACACTTTATCCAAACTCTTTTGTTTCCAGTGTTTCGTGTTATTTCCTGTTCACGATTCATTTTGAGATTGATTACGATTCGTTTACTTAATCTTTTACATGACCTTTCCAAATGAAGGATGATAGATTTTCCTCGTGGCTTTCAGCAAATTTGACTTTGGCCGTAAACTTTGCACTAGATGATATTTCTTCAATAATTTTATCTTTGTATGTCTTTTTAAAAGTACATGATTTAGGAATTGTTTAACTTAAAGAGTTCGACTGTTTAACTTAAGGAGTCCGTTTGCACAATATAAGGCCAAATATTTTATGTGTTGTATATAGGTTTTGTAATATTTTCTTATTGCCTAGTGATCTGTAATAATGAAAAAGACCTAATGATTTAATGTTAATTACTTATTCTCGGGTTCAAAGCCTTTTGATTATGATATTGTGCCCAAGCAACAACTGCTTAACATGCATGTTGCATTCTTTTTTATACCTGGAGTTGGAGGTAATGTACCGGTATATGTACATAGATGAACTGTAAGTAACAGGTTTAAGATGAAAAACGATAAAAAAAACCTTTCCTTGGGAGCCTATAAACCAGATTCTCCTGTTGATTGTGATATATATTTGAATTTTGATGATATAGATTACACACATCAATCTTTCGGTATTAAGATGAGTATAAACTAAAAAATATATGCTTTTCTATGGTGCCTTTCATTTTACAATGTCATATTGCATGTGTGCCTTTGTGTTAAGTACATTTGTACTTAATACAAAATTTATTTCACACCAGCGGAGAATATGTTGCTATTATGAAGTTCTATGCCTCTTTGCTGTTGAGAAGCTAAAAAAATAAATAAACGGGTTTTTATTATTGCCATTTTGTTCACATCTACACAACTACGGTATATAGGGAATATTAATGCGTGTACAAAACTGTGTTGTGTTGTTCCTTATGCATCTGTTATATTTTCATAGCACTGTTCCACTGATTATAAGGTCTTTACCTGGACATCTACTGATTCTTTTTCCAC